CTTAAAACATGGAACGTAAGTGCTTTGAAGATCGGGCTGACCATGACGAATGCTGATGGACATTCGTCCCGAATGAATCTTATTTAAAAAGCATTAGAAATTAGGTATACAAACGTATCAAATATTAAAAAATATCAAACTTATTCCTGGGTTTCAGTCATTTATTGTCTCTATTTATCAATCAAAATACGTTTCGGTGTATCTTTCCACCATCATCAGTTTTTATGTGTAGCGTTGTTGCTGCTTTAAGCCTTGGCATGCATTTTTTGCCGAGCAAGAAAATGCATGCTACACTTTTTTGCCGAGCAAGAAAATGCATGCCAAGGCTTAAAGCAGCAACAACGCTACACATAAAAACTGATGATGGTGGAAAAATACACCGAAACGTATTTTGATTGATAAATAGAGACAATAAATGACTGAAACCGAGGAATGAATTTGATTTGCTGTTAAGAATGATTTCTAATCCATAAATCTTTTAGTTTCAACTGAGTTTAGTTTTATGGATTCTTTATATTTCTCACTCTTTGCTTTGCTGATTTCAAATAAGTTTGGTCACAATTTCTTGATTAATGAACAGTAATATATTAATAAATAGGTCCCCCGGTATTAGATATGCATGATTTGCAGTTGTTTTCATGCTAACAACATACCTTATGCATGTTTCCGATTAAATGAAAAAACGTCGCTCTGATATATGTGATCGAAATGAATATTACATGAGATAATTTTTATGCAATTAATTGCTATCTGGTTCACACCAGTTCGAGCAGATAAGACACAGCATTATTCTGATCCCGTTATTAAAACGTTCAGCCTTTTATTAAAACCTGATATTAGAATATTTACGTTATGGCATGAAATATTGCAGGAAAAAATCCATATTTCTGTTCGTTTAATCCGCTTTTTTCCGGATGTTGCCTCAGGGATCAGCAAATATTGCATCATGCTCTGATGGTATACAGCGAAGTATACAATAAAGCCAGGAAATATTTTTACATCATCGATGTTGATGAAGTTCCAATTTCACTTTGGAGCGCCCACCAATGGTTGATTGGAATTAGATTTTCGTTTGTTTACACTCAAAAAGTTCTTTTAATTTATATGTTCTGTTCCTAATTCGATTCCCTCGATTCCGTCAATAATAAAATAAAAACGATTGTTTGAGCAAAGTGTGTAAAAATAGCATCGGCAGACGCCTTAAAATCAGGCTCGAACTCGCATCTAAGATAACCTTTTCTGAAGAACCCATTCTACCATTCTGGTACTAACATTTTGCCCTCTCAGTATGTTCGCGGCACGACTTTATAAAGCAATTATGGATTATAGAAAATAACTTATGATTGTCTCAATTAAGAAAGCCGATGTTATCGCTAATTGCTTTAGAGAGCAACGATACGAACAAATCTAGTATCTTCTCACAAGCTCTAAAATTAACCATTGACACTTTGCGATTAAATCCAGCAATTTAAAAATAATTGAGCAAATAAAACAGATTAGACGACGACAATTTCGGTTGCCAAACTCAACCAAAGGATGATATATTCATTCATTGAGCGCACATCCATTATGTACATATTAACACAGTCCTATTAAACGAAGGCAAATGAGCTGTTCGATGCTTGAAAATGCCATTAATAAGTGTAGTAATCTATATGGTTGTGTAATTTTTTGGGTTCTTATACTTCCTTGAACCCAACCCGTATACATGAATATTTACCCATTGCATAGAGAATAGGATAGTTTCAGTTTCGGTTAATATTATGACGAATTGGCTGGTGGGGCGGCACATTTAAGCCACTGTTTGTTAGCGTTGGGGTTTGCTTAACTATTCACTTCTCGTATTCCGAGTGGGTTATTTTATTATACTTTCAAATTGAAGAAACTTGTCTTGCTTGTTTGCGTTATGCGCGGCGTTGGGGAGTCGCATTAGAAAGCGTTGACTGATTTGATGATCCGGAATAATAAATTTCCTCTAACAGCTATCGTAACTTAGTCATTTTCTCTCTAGTAGTTTCCACGCTGAAGCCGTTTTTGTCCATATCAACTGCAAAGGATTTATAAAGTTAAAGCAAAATAAACGTGTTTCGTGCTTCGAAATTTTATTTAATTTTTCTATCGGTTTAAACAGAAAAATAAACACCTTGACTGACCAAGTAAAAAGTATTTTCTGCGGTTTTTTTGGGGAAACAAAATGTTTGGAAACGGTTAGGGAAATGTTTATCAGATGTTAATCAGATTAGGGAAAGTGGGGGAAGGTGCAAAGAAACATCCGAAGTAAAATAATCAAGTTTTTAATATTTTTATAGATTTTCTAGATTTTTTCCATATAAAAAAGCTCTTGTACAAAATTCTGTACTATCACACTTGCGACAGATTAAAAAAGAAAACAAATCTACATCTACAAAACGTACAAAAATCCTTAGCATTACATTCTCGTCACATTCTACGCATATTTGACCCACACAATTGAATTGAGATCAACTTACTATTAAATTAGGTTTCCGAATGGGAATTATCAAATCGAATACTGTTACACATGATAGACGTTCGAAAATTTGTTAATTCCTCTCTCGGATGTATTTTACGGTGTAAATAACTAATATCACAAAATGAAAATAAAAATTGTTAATAAAGATAAATCAAAATACTAACTTTCTTATATGTAACAATTAATATTAATATTATCAAGAAAAAATTAAACATGAATTATCACATCTTTCAGCGGATTTCGCAGAAATCAGATGAATATTCGAGAGTTTAAGATCACAAAATTAGTTATCACATACTGAAGACTTTGTGACCCTAGAATCCCGATTTGGTCGTCACAAATTCACAAATTCTTATTGCTTTTCTATATCTAATTAACCTCTTTTGTCGAATATTATATCACTCGGATTTACATAGAATATATTATAGTAATTTTCATGTAAAACAACTCGATACAAAGTTGCCCAAATTTCAATTCAGACAATTTTCTTGTGCGGATTTCAACGTTTGCAAATCGCTAACAGTGAAGCCTTGGGCTGATCTTCCGCAAACTTTGTACCGCTCCAAAACTCATGATGAGAATAAACAATGATATACACATGAACTATAACAAACATGGATGCGCGATGATATATTATAATCTTTCTATCATTGTGATAGATTTCAGTCTTTCTAACTAGGTACACTGAAACTTTTTTGAAATCGAGCTCTCTAATATAGAGAAGACCTATACAGCTTCTTCAATTGAAGCTGATAGTCCGAACTAATCATTACGGCACTGCCTCTGGTGATTTTTCTGTAACAACGAAACAATCGTTAGCAATTTGCTTCCAAAGCAGCGGCGGAAAATGCCAACTTACTTGATAAATTGAGGCAGGAAGTTGTTCCAACTAGCAGTGCTTTGCTTGAGAGTGAGATAGACCTCAAATGTGGGCGCGGTACTCGGATCACATCGAAAAGTGGCCAGCTTCTTGTTGATGCCTTCGCCCTCAAAATTAATATAGAGGGCGCACCCCCTAAGCCCATAGGGTTCATTATCGGCAATCCTCAAGATATCCTGGGCTATTCTATG